TTTATACATTCTTGTATAAGCACTCGAAGACCACTATCATCAATTATTGATAAAGGACGAATATCGCCACAAACCCAACGTACAATCAAATCTTTTATGACATTTGATTGTCCAGTAGTTAATGTTTTCCTAATCAACACCATTTTATCAATTGTTGGTTGTGTTGATGTGGATATAGTTGTGGACTTGGTTGTGGATGTATTTGATTTGATTTCAAACGCGACACATGAATGAGATTTCATATGATTCGTTCCGCTATTTGGACCATAGACAAAAGTTTTTTTACACTTACCACAACTGGTGAATCCTATAATTCTCTCAAAACTTCCAGTTTGTTTATTCAGCTTTGCTGGAAAACCAAAAATAGACCAGTATGAAGGAACATCTGTTGTTATTTTTTTATATATAATATCATATTGGTGCTTCTCATGTTTTAATAAATGATAAATTCGTTCACTAGAATATGTTGATGGTCCTGATAATGAAGCAGGTGATAAAGAATTTGTATTCAATAATGAAATAGACGAAGATGATGCTGAAACATTTGAATTTGATGATGAAAAAGATGTAGCCGAACTGGATGGTATAGTACAAACATCATCATCATACATTGTTTACTTAAATTTTGTGTGATTAAGAAATCTTAAAAAAAAGAAGAAATATGTTTAGTTTTTTAAATGGTCAACAGTCCTATTTTTATTTGTGTTAAAATGAATCAACTATGGTTGTTGTCTTGTATCTTTTGTTCACGCATTCGTTTACTCTAACATATTGTCCACCAATCATAAATGACGAAAATGGTGAACAAAATCATCAGCTTACAGCGCCATCTAATCTTGTAAGGTTACTTTTAGTGAATTTAGTACTTACTATATCCAGGCCAACAACTTTGGCCTGGCCTGGCCTGCCTACCAGGCCGAAAATTGTATGGCCTGACCAGGCCAGGAGAAAATTCAAGAACTCATCCTGGCCTGGTGGACGGCCTGATGGCCTGCCAGGCGCCTGCCAGGAACCAGGACAGGCCGGCAGCTCTGATAGATATCAACAACAGTTTTTCTTATTTATGTTTATGAAAATATTTCTATTCTTTAAAATTGCATAACGACTTTAAACATTGTCTAATTAATTTTAATAAACAAAAGTATATAACTTATTTAGCATTTCTTTTTTTGGTATAAGCAAGATGAAAGTCTCATGTCTTCATTAGAAGAACCAGAAAAAAAAATAATTTAATTGATGTTGAGAAAACTAATGAAGATGTAACTATTCCATTAAAAGAAAAAAAAACTATTGTTCGAATGAATCTGAACTTAAGTTAAATGAAAATATTTATATTCTATTAGAAG